GTAGTAGTAGCAGTAGTAGCAGCAGTAGTAGTAGGTAGTAGGTAGTAGGTAGTAGGTAGTAGGTAGTAGGCAGTAGGTAGTAGGTAGCAGGTAGTAGGTGGTACGTAGTAGGTAGTAGGTAGTAGGTCGCTGGATCAGAATAGACAACCATTGGACTGAGACATGTCGATCGCTGGATCAGAATAGACAACCTCTGATTCGGATTCGTTCCGTTTCATGGTCAAACAACCTTGAAATAAACATCAACAAACTCACCCAGCCAAATGTGCACCTCCAATGCACCAACAAGTATGATTGAGCAGGGTATTGTATCATTAAGCTGCCTGCCAATGCGGGCTCGAGCTGGTGGCCGGCGGCATGCCGAAGGCTGTATAAATATGTCTAAAACATGGCTAGGGGTATGGCAGTTCGCTCGGCTTGATTTACCCCGTCTTCTGACAAGTAGGCGGCACCAGCAAGTGTTGACAGCACCATGAAGCATCCCCCAAGTAGTTCAAAGCCGAGCTATCTTTGCACTTAGAATCAACGAAAACGATTAACTCCTTCAAGTAACGAGTTTAGAACATCCACCCGGAGCAGCTCTGAAACCCAGAAATTCGATCATCTCACATCCAATGTCCGGTCATGGGATCAAAGTTCTACCAAAACCAGACCAGCTCATCCAATGCTCGGAAATGCTCCAAAGCCAAGTTGATTCAACTAATATATAGTTTCTACAACATCTGTGTTACTTATTTTAGAAAAAAATGAACATAGCAAAGGTCCCTATAGTTTCTACAAATATATAGTTTCTATATTTATGTTTCGCAAAAATATCAAGGTCCCTTAGCTTGTGTCAGTTTTCACAGAGCTGGTGGAGTTTTTCCTCCAACTTCAGAGCCCAAGAAATCGCTCCGACTGTGTCTCGTCTCGTGACCTCGGCTCGTGGTCGTTGGTCTGTTTGGGGGGACCAAGCCGCTCAGGACGGACCTCCGACCGCAACGATCGAGCGACCACGTGACCGGCCGTGCCTCGCCGTTGGTTCGTCTGTGCGACGAAGGAACCCTTCCCTCATCTCGAGAAACAGATGGAACCAGCTCAGCACTCCATGTCGGGAACAAACCAACTTCAACCCATCAGTTGAGGAAGAGCCCTGGAAAAGAAATGGGAAAAAGAAAGGGGTCTCTCGTGGCGGTCGAGATCGAGACTTCCCTTTTTCATTCACCTCTCCTCCACATTCTCGTAAACCACATTCTCGAAGCTCATGGCCTTCGCAGGCTCCTGGCCTTCCTCCTGCGGACGAGGAGAGCCCCGGCAGTGTGCCGTGGGCCGCGAAACGCGTGTGGCGCGCCGTGGGCCGCGAAACGTGTGGCGTGCCGCGGGCCGCGGGTCTCGGTGCGTGTGGCGCTCCGCCCGCCCTGGCCTCACCGGTGGGTTTGGGATGCGAATACCACTGCACGAAGGGTTTCCCTTTCGCCAGGGCCTTCTCGATGGCTGTGCCTGGGCGGAAGATGAGCGAATTCAAGAGATGACTGCTAAGCTATGGCTGATGGAGTCCCGTGGTACTAATGGTAAACTTCAAGTATAGATTAATCTGAAGCTTGAGTCGGGGTTCATGATGCCTGAATTTGTTGATCTCTGGGAGGTGAATCGACTAGCTCTATCAAGCAAGCCATGGGAGCGTCTACCAGAACTTGCCCGGGCTGTTGAAACCTTAATGCGCATGCAGGTAGATGTAGGTCGACCACCCATGTGCCATGTACACGACCGACCGAACTGAAAACCCTTTCTGTTTGCGGACTGTGTGGTCGCGGTACCTTCTCCCACCTTCTCCCCATGCGCATGAAACATGGTCCATCGCACCTAAGAGCGCTCGTAATTCCAGTACATCTAAGAATCAAGGACCCTCAAAGGTGAAGGTTTTGAGGGTCCAAACCCCTGCTATGCAGGGTCAAAACCCTCTATAGGAGGATCCAATGTTGATTCGATTCTTATAGGGTACATATAATAGAGCCGCCCTTTGGAGCCCCTCCATGGGATGTTCAGAAGAATCTCTCACACGCCAGTTGTGTGGTTTCCGAGGCCAAATCCTACCCATCACACCTCGACATCACCAGCGTACCCCGGCCCCGCCCCAACTGCTTTCCCTCCACCGCGCGGCGCTCGGCGAGGTTCATCTGGGTGGAGTTGGGCACCGGCTCCCAAGCGCAAGGCCCGTCCAGGAAGCTCCACTCGAAGTCCTGCGGTTCCACCGGTCCCACCAGGGCGCGCGCGGGCGCGCGACCGGAAGCGCCGTGAGGGAAGCCTGGCACCACTGCTGCGCCCTAGGTCACCTGTCCAAAAAAAACCATAGTTTAAAAGATGTTTAAAGCGATTCTAACCGATTCTAACCGTTATAGACAAGGTCAAACTGGGACATTGGGTTAAAAAAACCCAGACATGTACAATATATATAGGGAAAATGTTTGAAAAAAAGGGATGCTTTCCACCTTGTTAATGTTCACCTCCGGCCTTCCTTGCCCGTGTACGCACCCCGTGCGGCCTCCCCCGCCATCTTCCGAAGACCGGCCGTCTGAAAGTTCCTTCCGCGTCGAAAGCGACTGCGAACTCAGCGGACTCCGCGGACTCGGAAACACAGCGAAAACACGAGTTCCGAGGAGTAGGATGTGGAGATATCTTCGTTCCATCTCGAAAAGCAGTTATGTCATGTTATGTCTTTTCATGTTTATTCTCTTTCATTATTAGGATGAATTCTGATATCTTCAAAATAGATTTATGATTGGCACACAAGGTCTGGAAGAGCGGAGCTCTCCGGAAGCCGCTCGAGGATATAATAGTTGAACATGGGTCCCTATAGTCCTAGTCCTTTGAGAATCGCTATGCGCGCTGAAACCGTGCAGTTGGTGCCTTCTTTTTTGGAAACTGTGTCGTTGATAGCACCCAGTCATCGTGCCGGCCCAGTCATCGTAAATTCGAACAACATGGCGTCCCCGGTGTCCGATCCCTTTTGGTAAGGTTTCAGGATGGATGATGTGGGCAAGGCCATCCTGCAAGGCCATGCTGAGTTCTTGGACCCAGCAATGCTTGTGTTGTCGGATCTGGACCTGTGGATCCAAAGAAGAGTGGACAAACCTCACTGAAGAGTGGACAAACCCCAGAAAACCCACTGGATGACCACAACAGCTTGGTTGCAAGGATTAGTGTTAGCCGTTTTTTCGGCCGCGGCCCCAGCCCCTGCCTCGGAAAGCAACGTAAAGAGCACGACAGCAGTAGAACAACAGAAAGACCAGAGGAGGACATAACGAGGGAAGGACAACAGCAGGACAACTGCAAGCACCAGGGACAAGAGGACAAGACACGGACACAGCGTTTAGGGGCGCGGCCAGCCACTGTGGCCAGCTCCTTTTTCCCTAAGAGAGAACCTGGTTTGGGGAAATATCCAAGAAGCTGCTCAAAAAGTGCCAGTGGAGAAAGATGCAAACGGCTCCCAGCCATGCCCAAAAGAAGCGTACACGTGCGACAAAACACTTAGCAAACCCCATGGGGATCGTCATCCTCTTGATCTCCCAACCAACGCGGCCAAAGCAACATGATGTTGGAGTTGCCGGGGGCACCGTGCAAGGCCAGCACACGCAGCCTGCGCGATGGTGACCTGCCGGTGCCGCGACATCGTCACGAGGAATGGTGAGGGATGGGATGTCATGTGCATGTTTCTGCGCTTTGAACAAGTGGTGGTCATGCACTGCGCTGATCTGACATCGGTTTCAGGTTCTTGAGCATGCCACAGATTGGATTTCAGATGATTAAGCCAACCACACATCCAACAAGCATCTTTCCGGCTTAGCCTTAACCATCCAAGACTTGGTCCTTCACGTCCTTCACGGACGTCTCGTGGTCCATCCCACTGATCCCCACCGTCCCGCCCGACGCTTCCACCAGCCTGGCTTCCACCAGCGGCTTCCCCTGGGCGTCGCAGCAGCGAGCCGAGGCCCCCGTTCGGGCGCCGAACTCCGTGGGTGTTCCTAAGACACCGTGAAGCGTGCAGCTCCCCAAATGCCCAGAAAAAGAGGATGGAATTCAGCCTGAACTCGGAGGGGGACCGGACCCATTTACCCAATGGCATGTATCATTTTAGCCGATCATTGGGGTTCGTTATGATGGAAAAGGGTCAATGTAGTAGGATGTAGTAGGTGAATACGGATTGTTGGGGATATGGAACCATCTGTTTCACATGACGAAACCACGTGTCACTCGTGTCAGATGGTCACTCAACTAACTCAACTGGTGTCTGGAGTCTTCCTCAAAAACCAGGGTCTTCTCGACGCAGATCGCAAGAGAAGGATCCAAAAACATCTGCATGCAGTCGCCAGAGCCGCAAGAACAGTTGAGATGACTTGAAGAATGACGGCAAAACAAACATCGAACAGTTTCGACTTCAGTTTGGCCTTTTCACTTTCTCTTCAGTTTTCATCCATGCCCGCCATCGCTGCGGACCCCTTTCTCGACACGCACCTCGTCCCGCAAACGCAATTGTGCGCGCCTTCACGCGCATGGAGATCCAACCGCAGGGAGGACCCGTCCCGGACCTCGCCGGGCGTTGAAGGGCATTCCCAAAAAATGTTCAGAAAACCTTGGATTTTAAGGACTTGACCAAACAACCGTCTTTTTCAGTACAAAACCAGGTCAACCTTTTCATACTTTATATACCTGGATCTCCAACAAAGTTGAAACTTCAAACTATATTGAACAAAAAGAATTTATTCTTATTCTGCAAATTCGGATTATTTGTCGTTTCCCTCGCTTACTTTCGTATTCGACGGATTTTTGGAAAAGGTGAAGCATGTGTATGTCATGGTTTTTGAGCCAAGGGTTGGAGTCACCCACCGGTCCAGGTAGCTACCCCCCCTAGCTCGTTGGGGATCGGATCGCTCGGTCGGGAACACTAACACCCGATTTTCACAACATAGATTAACACATATACCCAGACACGACTGTATAATCTGTATAATCTGTCTACATTGACCCCCCTGGCACCACCCCTGGCCTCTCCGTTTCTCGGCAGTCCGGACTGGCAGTCCCGTCGACGGGTCGTGTCTGGGATGTTTGGACATATCGATGACTCGCTGACTCGATGAAGACGACTGGGTCACCAGGAGGTACTTAGTACTGGCGGGCAGGGATAGATGAGGGAGCTCTTGGGGTCTGCTGGAAAGTATGCGAATGGCTCATCCTGTTTTTGTAGAAACTCTCTCAGGGCTAAGCCACTAACGGCTTACAAGCATTGGGCATCCTTCCATCACCTAATTCGAAACTTCCACTATCTTCCACTGGAGGCGTCCTCCCATGGCCCCAACTGCCATAGCGCAAAGGATGCTTTGAGTCACACGAGCCAGTACTTCAGGCGCTCCTCCATCTCCTTCTTCTGCGACAAATCAGCCATGATCAAAGCTCCTCAGTTCGGTCCGCTCTGGCGGCCGGGCGCTGTCGGGCGAGCGGAATGCGTTCGGTGGTGTGCTGCAGCAAAAACGCAGCTGCAGTGCAGCAGCTGGACTGGAAAAAAAAACAGAGCTTCAGCATGGTCTATATGTCAATGTGATAGAAATTCAATCCTGTAATTCTGTTAGCGTCCCCCCAAGGGGTGTTGATTAAGGGCACCCCAAAAAGAGGTGATTTTGGGGGGGTGTCCGTTAACCGTCCCAATGGTATGCAGCACTGCTACTAGCACTGCTATATGGATTAGGAATTTGGCATGCAAAACTCCAAACAAAGTGGGACGGTTCTGAAGCAGAATCGTTTTTGTTTGTCGATGTGGTAAGAACAGGTGCCCACTTGAGAACCACACAGAAGATCCAGATTACTTCTCCTGTTGACAAGCGCTCTGCTTCTGCAGGTGAAGAAAGCTCGCAGCCTGCAACCCAGAGAACTCGTCGAACTCGGAGACCCGTGGGTGGTGGTGTTTTCACCTGCTCATTCGTGCGTACTGTATCAACGTCAGACCATCCTTTCTGCGCGGTGGATGAATCAAGTAGGCCAAGCATGAAACACTGGAATGTTTAGGCTGCAAAGACGTGAATGGTGTCCTGCAATGACATGGGAGACTTCCTCTGTTCATAGCCAAGAAATGAAGTGCGAGGAGGGTGAACTCATGTCCATCCCCATCTTTTACTACTACTGTAGTAACGTACAACAAGCATCATCAAGCGTCTACTTTTGACCTCGACCATCTCAAACCAGGATTCTTCCGATTTCACACGTCCCCTGCCCGCGCGAATGACGCCGCTTCCCTCGACGCCTCGCGCCGCTCGACGCCTTGCGCCGCGATGCGGGGCGCCTTGCCGCACGAGAATGCCGCCCTGCTCGACGCCTCCCACCACTTCCCAGAGCTGCGGCGGCATGGCGCCGCAAAGAGTCCGAAGGTGGCTCTTGGTGCCACAGGCTCCGTGGCAGCTAAGGCATGCTTCATTAAGTCTAAAAACAATGTCCTTGTTTTCTCGTGTTTCCATGTCCACATCCCACCATGCGCTTTTGCCATCTGAGGCTATTGACGGATATGATGCAGGCAGAAGTCAAGGGACAAAAAGTGCATAAGGATGGGAAAGGCAGCCAGCTGGCCAACCTCGTATGGGTCACTTCATGTCATTGGCAGAAGCAAAAACATGGTGGCCTCGCATCGCTCATCATCTTGATGAGGTCTTCCCACTGTTGTGTTTTCTGATTCCTTGTTTACGCTTTTTTAGCCCGAAAAGCCTCGCAAGCATCTGCTAAAAGTTGTCTCTATTTTATGACAAAAGCCTATTGCGATGCTTTGGCGGACGAAGCGTTGCTGGATGAGGTCTGGCCACACCATTGAGCCCCAAAAAGAAGGACGGCAACGATCCTCGGGCACCAACGTTTCAAAACGGGAGCTGTTGAAAAGAAAGAAGTGAACAAATACTGCTTGCTTGCTTGTCTTCAGGAATGTAACACGGGGTTGCATTAATTGCACTATAGCTCGTGTTGGATCTGTTTTGAAGTTATCAACTGCTTTTGACAACCTTGAAAAAGAGATAGAGAGAGAGAGAAAGAGAGAGAGAGAGAGAGAAAGAGAGAAAGAAAAAAAGAAACAAACCAAACCCCAAAAAAACAAACACAGGTCAAGACTCAAGACCCCCCCGTCCGATGTATCCACCTTTTCGGGTCATGACCGAGGCCGACCGCATGGTCGGGGTCGACCTACACAGACCCACCGTCGGGCCGGCTCCTGCACGTAGCCCTCCTCTGGGCCCACGTAGACCTGCCGATCCGCCGAAGCACCACAGAGCTTCGGTGGGAGCGAAGCGGTGGCGGCACATTCATCTACAGCTCTGGAACACATGCTCTCTCTCTCTCTCTCTCTAGATGAGCTGGATGAGTATATGTAATAATATTACACTTAAGTTCTGAAGTTGTTGCTTCTCTGCAAGAACTCAAGGAAACTACTCACCAGCCATGTAGGACTTTATTTCAGGGGTCCTCTCCCGCTCCTTGAACATCTGAAGCAGATGAGACGTGCTATCCATCCATCTACACTGACCC